GGGAAGCAAATTTTCTGCTGGTATAAATAGCTTTAGAATGTATCTTGAAGTGAGCTGGAATCGATTGGTTTGATTCTAAAATATTTCTATTTGTTTCATCTGAACTTATTTGTTTAACTATTTCTGTTGATAAATCGCTTAAAGTATTACTGTTCCACGTATTTATAGTGTCAAATATATCTTTAGATGTTGGCCTTTTGTCCGGTTGGCCATTCCAACATTTAGTTATTAGATCCTCAATTAATTCTGGTGCATTTGCTGGAACAGTTGGGCGGAAACCATCGTAGATCATACGTTGTAATTGGATATCGTGTGGAATATTATGATATGCCGGAAGACCTGATACTATTTCATAAGCAATAATGCCAAAAGAATATACATCAGATGCCGTGCTATACTTTCTATTATATAACACTTCAGGTGCTATATATGGTATTATGCCACATATTTCAGTTGACCCCATATTAATGAATGTTGTAAGTCCTAAATCTGCAATATATGCACTGTGTAAGCTATTTAGCAATATATTTCCACTATGTAAATCTCGGTGAATAAGATCTTGTGAATGAATTATCTGAAGATCAGAAGCAATAGAAGTCAATAAAATTAATTTTTTTTTCCACTCCATTTGTGATACATAATAAAGATTTTTGCGTAAAGAGCCCATTTGTACATATTCCATAACGAGAATATAATTTTTAGAAATTTCATCTCTTGATATGCCAAATAATTTTAAAAATGTTGGATTTTTAAGGTTAATATCACAATATGCCTTTAGCTTTTTGTATTGAAAATTAATTCAATTTATAAGATATTTAAAATATACCATTAATATATATCATTAATGTGTAATTATGAGGATTAAAAAAAAATTACCTCATTTATAAATTCATTATTACAATCTTTTGATCTGTTAAGAAATTTAAGTGCAACAGTTACTTGACGACCCTGTTTTTGATCAATCCATTCAGCAGAATAAACTGTTGAAAATCCGCCTTTTCCTATCATTTTGATATTATTAAATTCATTATAATCAATCCATCGTATTGGATACTTGTTTTCTATAATCATTTTTTTCAAAGTATCGTCAATATCAAATTCTTGATCGTCAATATCAAATTCTCGATTTTCCCATCTGATAAAAGCAAAAATGGATAATAGACATTAAACCATTATAATTGAATAAACATGTAATGATAGAAAACAATAGAGGTTACCTGGTGCTGGATAATAGACATTAAACCATTATAATTGAATTAACAATAGAAAACAATAGAAAACAATAGAAGTTACCTGGTGTTGCCTTTTTTTCCCCTAATTAACCAATATATGAATTTATTAACAAATTGTATATGAAAAAAATTCAACAATATTTAAACACCAGTCTAAAAAATTTCACTGGTAATCAAATTTAAAGATCAAATGTACCGAGAAAAAAAAAATGCAAAAAACAAAAAGCAATCCAAAAATCATTCGTAACCCAAAATTTTGTTTATGAAACTGCCTTCTATGTAGTAACAAAAGTTTTCCTTGCGAAATTTTGGTATTAATATGGCCTCTAACCCTAACTCGCTAACAATACTCTAACCCTAACTCACTAACAATACTGAAACGTTTTCTTAGCGAAAATTTTTTTTAACGATCTTACTGTGAGATCATATAATGCGTGAAATTTTTTGACTGGTGTTACTAGACCATAAAAAAAATTATTACATTTGATACCAATATTCTGCTTTTTGTAAATCCCTTATCACGCCAATTCCATTTCGATAGCAATCGCCAACCTTTTCCATTCCAGGTTCATACCCAATCTCTGCAGATTTTTGATAATAGATGAACGCCTTATATTCATCCCTTTCAACTCCAATACCATAATAATAACAATTTCCGAGATAATATGTCCCTTTTTTGTGCCCCATATCAAAAGATTTTTTAAAGCAATTGAATGCCTTAAGTTCATCCTTTTCTACTCCAATTCCATATTGATAACAAAGTCCAACGTTATATATTCCTGTAACATTACTCATCTTAGCAGATTTTGATAATAAATGAATGCTTCATGTTCATCTTTTTCAACTCCAATTCCGTAATGATAACAATAACCAACTTTATTTGCTCCGAGGCCATGGCCCATGTTTGCAGATTTTTGATAATAAATGCATGCTTTATGCTCATCCTTTTCAACACAAATTCCATATTCATAACACGCACCAAGAATAAATATTCCATTAATATCTCCCATCTCGGCAGATTTTTTATAATTAATAAATGCTTCTTGCATATTCTTTTCAACACCAGTTCCATTTTGGTAGAAACTACCTACTTCAATAAACGCGTGAGGATTTCCCATCTCTGCAGATTTTAGACAATAATTAAATGCCTTATGTTCATCCCTCTCAACACCAATTCCTTTATCATAACAACGTCCAACATTAAGCATTCCGTCAGTATTTCCACCTTCAGCAGCTTTTTGGTAATAAATAAATGCTTTTTGTTCATCCTTTACAACCCCAATTCCATTTTCATAACAACGACCAAGTTCAGACGCTCCACGAATAAATCCCTTCTCTGAAGATTTTTGATAATAAAAAGGTGCTTTACTTTCATCTTTTTCAACACCGATTCCATTTTCATAACAATGACCGACTAGACATATTCCACTAGCATATCCCATTTCAGCAGATTTTTGGTAGTGAATAAATGCTTTGCATTTATCTTTTCTGACACCAAGACCATTACCATAACACCATCCAACATTAAATATTCCACCTGCATGCCCCATTTCCGCACATTTTTGATAATATATGAATGCATTTTGTTCATTCTTTTCAACACCAATCCCATC